CTTCTATGGAATATACACGAATGGCCTACGGCTTCCATGGCTCCTCTGTCCCAGGATCAACTCTGTCCAGGCCCAGGCTTTGGATCTGTGAGTGACGCAGGAAGCTGATTTTGGCTCTGGGAATGTTTTCCTCTCCATTCTGACTTTTCTCCTGTTGTCCTTCTTTCCTCTCCATCTTTTCTCCACCTCTCTTCCCCAGACACCCCTACTGTGTCTCTCTTCCTGTTTGCTTAGTTTCTTCCCCTCTCGTTGGTGGCCAAAGCAACAATCAATCACAGCCGCTGTCACAATCACAGTTCTATCTGTAGCTCTTGTGTCTTCACGATAACAAGATAGGAGAAGCCTTGCCAAAAGACAGACCCTCTCCACAGTAGCCTGTGGGAGGCTGCCTGGCGCTGAGAGTCTGCCAATGAGAACACTCCCTGCCTCGCAGCTGCAGGGCCTGGAGAAGAAGGGAGGGACAGCGACTGCACAAGTTTGCTGGTGACACAATTAGGTTGTTTTGCTCCGCAAAAACATGGGAAAATCCTGATAAGTTCCAGATGATTTCAAAACACACTTGAGGGTCAGATATGCAAAAGGCAGATACAATCTGAATTAGGTAAGTACAAGTTGATGCACAAATCTCTACTTAGTTCCAAACATCTTGCAGATTGGAAGGCTTTAAATTTGACAATTCCCAGTTAGGGATGATAAAAATTGAACTTTGCTCTCCGTAAGCTCCGAGCCATTATGAGAAGAGAGGGTTCACTCAAAGTTGAACAACTTAGTGAAAAGCAGAGGGAAATGTACGTTATGGATGAGCATTGGAAAGGCTTTAAATGTAGTTGAGAAACTGGACTTGTTAGGAGAGATACAAAAATATATTTTAAAAATTGTGTCTGCATGTGTAGTACATTTTCATAATATATCCTAAAACACCTATTCCCCAGATCCTGTTCTAAGAATACAGGCTCCATCTTGGTGCTGAAGAACAGGGTAATGATGAAGAGCTTTGGCTTTGTATCCAATGTACCATGACCCAGGGTCATCAATATCATCAGGGTTATTGGGCTAGCGTGGCCATGTGTCGGAGTAAAACTTAGGATTTTCATTCTATGCAGTTAATAATGGGGGGAAGGATGGGGATCAAACCCAGACAAGTGCTCTATCACTGAGCTACATCCCCAGCCCCTCTTCTCTCAACTCTTAACTTGAAACTTTCAAACCTACAGAAAAGTCGGAAGAAAGCCTAAAGTACATTACTATCACCTTATCACCTAGTTTCACCAGTAGGCATTCTCTTATAAATATAATGCCATTTGCATTCCCAAGATACTTAATACAGGGATACACTAGTATTATCTAATATCAACATCATCCTTAAAATTCCCAATTGTCCCAGTAATCTTTTTATTATCTTTCATGACTTGGATAGCTTTGAAGTGTTCTTCTGGCCAGTGCTTTGTAAAATGTCCCTATCATCAGAATGGGTCTAATTGTTTCTTTCTGATTAGATTCATGATAAATGCTACACAGGTGGTAGTATGTACTTGCATTGTGTCATATCAGGAAGGAATGATGTCAGTTCGTCCTTGCTATTCCTGATATAAAGTTTGATTGCTAAGTTAAGGTGGAAACCGACATGTTGCTACAATGTGGTTTTTCCCCTTTCATCCAAGGATTTAACATTCAACCATGATCCTTGCCTGAATCAATTACTGCACTCGTGTTAGCAGAATGTTAGTTTTTTTTCTATTTTTTCATTGCTTTTTTATATATCAGATGGGATCTTCAGTATCAAACCCACGTCTTCCAGACACCAAAGCTCATGCTCTTCCCGCTACATGAGCTACCTTTATAATATGTAAATGATGAAGCTACTCATCTGAAGCTGCTAGGAATATATAACATTATAATTTCGTCTCACTTTGAGAGCTCCGTTTTCTTTTATCTTGGCAAAAACGAATCCCTTCTGTGGCTTTGAAGCTTTTAAAGCCCTCAAGATTATAGCTCCCACAGAGCTGTTATTCTTAGGAATGTATTTGAAAGAAGTACAGGATGTCTGAATCAGACTCCCTCCTTCAACATCCCTGACTTTCTCCCACCTCTTTGACTGCCCAGGTTTGCTTGCTTGATTGGTTGATTGAAATTGTGTGTGTGTGTGTGTGTGTAATCAAAACATCAGTTTGGGCTGGGCATGGTGGCACATGCCTGTAATCCCAGTGGTTTGGGAGGCTGAGGCAGGAAGATCATGAGTTCAAAGCCAGCCTCAGCAACAGTGAGGTGCTAAGCAACTCAGTGAGACTCTGCCTCTAAATAAAATATAAAATAGGGCTGGGGATGTGGCTCAGTGGTTAAGTGCTCCTGGATTCACTCCCCACTACCAAAAAAAATACAAAAAAACCTCATCAGTTTGGGCTTTTTTTGTTGGTGTGTTTCGTTTCTTAGTGGTAAAGATGGATTGAAGAATTTGGTAGAGAGTCCATCATTCTTCTCTGAGCCACGATCATAGGGTCCCCGAGCTGGAAAGGAAGTGAGATCCATGAAGACCTTGACTCCATCACCTCCAAGAACAGACCTCCCTTCCAGTAAGCGAGTGCCACTTGGGAACTGCTAGAGGGAGCAGGACCTTCCGGTTGCACGGGCTGCTAGTCCATTGGGTACACAGACATGGCAGATCAAGAGGAAGTGCCAGACAAGAGAGGGGTTCCACATTCTCTTCTGTCCCAGAAGCTGTTCCCACTGAAGTGTCCAAACTTTAATGAAATTTGTGTGGATTGAATTTTCCTGTGGGAAAGCACAGAGCCTTAGATCTGCATCTGTCCCTTCTCTTTGTTATATTAAGACCTGTTGAAATCACTAATAAATTCAGGTTTACAAGTTGCACTGAGATTATTGGGGTTAGCCTGTGAGTGTTACAAGCATTTTAAAAGTTCTCCAAAATTAAAACAAAAAAAATAGTCTCTTTGTTTGCCATCCTTGTACTGTTTAACACGAGTATTTCAACAGTCTTTATTTTCCAAACATGCAAACAGGAGAGAGTGATCTGACCCACAGTATATTGACATACCATGTAGCTATAACCTTGAGATAAGAAGTAAAGGAGAAAGTCAAAACAGCTCAAACCAAATACTAACACAAACAAGTCTGCCTTCACTCCAGACCCTTCCTCAGCACCAAGGGAACAAATTGGCATTAGCGCTGGCAATGGTGGGCACAAATAGATCTACAATTCTCAGCTCCATGGGACCCTTAATGTGTAGCTGGAAAACCCAATGTATTAATTACTTAATTAAATATTTATTACCATGTGTTATCTACTCTGTGCCTGACATGGTGGTGTTGAGGATGTCTTATATATTTACATGATACATAAGACTCACAGGTGAGTCTGCCATTATGGAATTTATCTAGTGCTGTTAGGGGATTAAAAAAAAATCCAAGAATATAGCCCACAATGTTGAGAGGAGATGGGAAATAGCAGTTCTACCAGAAAGCATGAGTTGGTTTCCTGGATTCTGAATATCCGGAATGAAACCATTTCAAAATCTGCGTCACCTTGGGGAATGGCTATTAAAGATAGAAAGACAAAAAGAGAAAACAGAGAATCAGAGAGATGCTTCTCTCCTCACAGCACATAGGAAGGTCCTTTGGGAGTTTTACCAAGTTGATAAGGAAGAGTCAAATCTAATGTTTGTAAGGTCATGGATAAAAGAAACGGTAATGACCATGTCTTTGTTGCATGCCAAAAAAGCTCTAAAGACAGAATGTCCCAGTGTAATAACTGGTAACTTCCTGAATGTCCTAGCTGAGCTGAGCTCAGTGCTAAGCATTTACATATAATAGCTCATTTGATTCCCCCCAACCAACCACTTGTGAGATAAATACTAATTTATTCCCATTTCTCATATGAAGAAACAGACCCAGCCTCGTTAAGTAATTTGCCCTTCCCCAAGGACACAAACTCCCAGCTCCCTCTGACTCAAAATCTACTCTCCACATTTCCATGCATACAATTATCTTTCATGATTTTATTAAAAGATATCATTATTGAATACAAAAATTATTCAGATAGCTTCAGAAAGTGTTCTTTGTCTTCAAGATATTATCTTGGAAGGGACATTCAAATGTATCCTATCAGTCAAAATCAAATACACATTTTCTCAAATGCATGAAAAATGAAGAGATGAACTTTTGCAATTGCTTAAATGTACACAAGCCCAACAACTCCAATTAGAATTGTGATTCAAGAAGGGATGGAAATCAGTGTTTTATTCAACCGGTAAATTACTTCTCAAAAGTTTATTTTACAACTGCAAACTTCCATCTCTGCAATTTACTTAAAAATTGAATTAATAATAAAATTACCAAGGAGAAGCCAGTTCAGTGAAAACAATGCAGAGCCTCATAGTGAAACTTAGGCCTATTTAGGGATGAAGCCATATAAAAATCCCTATTAAAAATTCAAAAATAATTGTAGTGATGTTAAACTTTGAGAGAGGCAAAAAGCCTTGTTTGGCTTTAAAACATTTAAATTCAATGTAATGAAAAGTGGTCTGAGTGCTTCTTTTTACTTTGTTTTGTGGGAAATTGTGCTGGGAATGTGGATCTATTGTGCACAAAGGATGTTGGCTTTATGCTGGAACCACTAGGCAGGTTGAGTTGAGAAACAATTAGCTCAGTCAGCAAGCCTTTGAATCTGATTAAGCCAGGAAGTGGTCACTCCCCAGGACAGGGCAGAAGGGAATCAAGGCAGCCACTCCAAAACAAGGAATGGTTTTTCACTCTTTCTCTCTCTCTGTCTCTCTCTGAAATAAACCAGTATTAGAAATGATTGTGTCTAATTTATATCAAGGATTATATGACAACATTCCATCTCCGATGAAAGGAATCATATCTTGTTTCCAAGTGGATCAACAGTCCCCATGTGTCATGGCTACCGTCTCTAAGAAACTTCTGTTTATTGGGGCCTGTCATATGCTCATGTTTTGGTAACAAAACATCTTTGAGACCAAAGACTCAAGTCACAGAGGAAAATGAAGGCCCTATATCAGGCTGCTGGTCGGATTCTCATTACTCTGGGGAGTCTCAGCGTATTCTCTGGAGTTATTGCTTTTTTCCCTGTTTTTTCTCACAAGCTCTGGTTCACTGGATGGAGTGTCCATATTGCTTGTCCCATCTGGAATGGCGCTTTGGTAGGATCATATTTTATTAAGTATTTTGAGAGAATAAAGGGAGATGGGAGGGAGAGGGGGAAACAGAATAACGTGTCCTTTAACATTTTCCTGACAATACAAAGAAGTCAAAATTCTGCAGAAAACCAGAATTCACCTTAGTACGTGGATTTGTATTAGTTTATATATATTATATGCCAAAAACTCTTGTTTAAATTTTTTATGTCCTTGATGAACACAAATACCTTTATTTTATTGATTTATTTTTTGTGGTCGAGGATCGAACCCATGCCTCAAGCATGCTAGGTAGGCAAGCACTCTGCCGTTGAGCTACAAGTGCAGCCCATAGTTATATTTTAAGTATTGGGGTTTTGTTTATAATGTTTTAATATGTATGCATATTTATTGTGTGAATCATAATGAAATGTTTAAGAAACTTAAAATTTTTATTTTAATCTTCTTACCTTGATATTCTGAGAAAATAGAACTCATCCTTTTGAAATTCAATTTACAGATTTAGAAAAAGGCATAAACCATCATACAATTTAAAAGTGTAGAATGAAGTAAAATAATTTTCAAATTAATATTTCCTTAGAAATACCAAGGTGGGCCTACATGACCCTAAAATTTGCAAGCCCCAAAGCTTTGTTCTCCTGCGACTTTCTTTGTACCCAACTGTTTGAACTGAAAATAATTCAAGAAGTGGGGTGTTGGGGGCTGGGGTTGAAGCTCAGTGGTAGAGTACTAGTCTAGCACACACGAGGCACTGGCTTTGATCCTCAGTACCACATAATAAATAAATAAATAAACAGACAAACAAACTAACAAATAAATAAAATGTATTGTGTCCATCTATAATTAAATTTTTTTGAACAATAAGGCAGTGGGGTGTTGAACTTCACTGACTTCACAATTTGCTAGGAAAGTATGTATGCACCTAGTCAAGTGTCTGCACTAAGTAGATGCTTATTTAGTAATCTCACAGATAAGCAACTGGCTTACCTCAGCTCCCTGATCCAACAAAACAAGTACAACCCTCCTTGGGAGGAAAGGACTTCCACGGCAGCATGACTTAACAGGAGTGATGAGGGTCCCTGCCTAGTTTCTCTCCTTATTTCCCATGAGATATATTTTCTCATTATCAAATATTCTTATCTTCTACCAGTTACTGGAGAATTCCATTCTGAAGTTTTTTGATCTTAAAGAAATTTCTATTAAAATATAGCTACTCTTGGGTGGGCTAACATCTTAAATCTTTAAATAATTGACTGGGATGCTATCTAAAAGTATAACCTCTGGAAACATAATGTTTAACTTACTTATGAAATAAGTATTTATTGAAGAACTATGGCATTTGGGGGGATTCATAGGAAGATCCATCCAAGTCTTGGTCTTAAGTAGGAATTCTGCCTTTAATAGTGTGTGGACACAGGAAGCAGGGTGGGTGGGAGGGAAACTGAAACTTGGGTGGTGTTTTCTTTCTTCTTTTCTTTTAAAATACATTCTTTTACATATACTTCCCCCATCTAGACCTTCCCTTCCTTTCCCCAGCACCTACCTCAAACCACACTTTCATTCAAAGAAATGTTTATTGAACTAAATACAGCAATGGCAATTACATTTATTCAAGCAGCAATTTTTTTTTTGTTGGTGACCCAGAATAAGAAAAATATTTCACACCAGGACCTGGAATATACATAAAGAGACTTAACATCTTTCTTTCTAGATGAATATCGATTTACTTATATCAATATGTGTAACAAAACTTTCACAATACTGGGTTTTTTTATATGAAATGTATGCTGGTGATTTTTATTCCACTTAACTATTTTATTTTACATTTCTTCCCCTTTTTGGGGGGGATGGCCCTAGGGATTGAATCCAGGGGCACTACACCACGGAGTACATTCCCAGTCCTTTTTATATTTTCATTTTGAGACAGGGTCTCCCTAATTTGCCCAGGCTGGCATCAAACTTGTATCCTCCTGCCTCAGCCTCCCAAGCTGCTGGGATTACAGGTATGCACTACCACACTCAGCTCCTATTTAATTATTTTAGAATGACTATTAGATAGCTGATCCCCAAAGTTTAACAAAACTATGAATGTAGTCCAACCCTCCATCCTTTTCTTTTGGTCTTTGCCTATCCCTGAAGAGTCTGTCAATAAATTCAACAAATATTGGTAGAATTCCGATTAAGGTTATAAATACTGAATGTAGACTTGTTCTAAGCCAAACATCTATTTTACCAATAGGCCCAGGGAAATGACAGTGTCTCCTCCAGCAGGCAGCTAGTTGATGGCTGTTTGATTTCAGGGGCAGCAGCGTGGAGAGGTACAGTGAGAGACATAGGATTTGGGGAGGTGGACCTATGTTCAAGTTCTGACTTAATGTTGGTACATGATCAAACACAGGACCCTCTGTCAGTCACTTCCTCCTTGCCTTGACCTATAATAAGAATTTCATAGGTGAGAGGAAGGCATGTGGGAAACTGTCTAAACCTAAGCTGTTCCATGAGAACAAACACAAATTGAACAGATTGTGTCATGGAGAGCTTTGCCAATTTTAAAGCTCTACTCAAATGCTAGTTAATACTCTGCCTTTCATTGGTGCCCTGCTCTCTGTCCAAACTCTTTGTTATTGATCCCTTGCCACCCGCCTCACTGTCCTGTCCTGTTTCCTGATGACCTCCTAAGTCCCCCACCCTTAACTCCTGGACCTCATCACACATCACTCTTTTTTCCTCCTCCTCCTCCTCCTCCATCTCCTCCTCTTCCTCCTCCTTCTTTTTCTTTCTATCTCTCTATCTCTATCTCTATCTCTATCGCTTTCTCTCTTTGTGGAGCTGGGAATTGAACCCAGGGGTGCTCTGTCACTGAACTACAATCCCAGCCCTTTTTTATTTTAATTAGGGTCTCACTAAATTGCCAAGAATTTGGAATCTTCCTGCTTCAGCCTCCAGGATAGCTGGGATTACTGGTGCACCACTGTACTTTGCTTATTGTTTGACAAATGAATATTATACAAGGATAGGGATATAGTGGGCTGGGGATATAGCTCAGTTGGTAGAGTGCTTGCCTCACATACACAAGGCCTTGGGTTCAACCTCCAGCACCACAAAAACAAGGACAGGGATACACACACACACATACACACACAATCCTATTTTGTTTACTGCTCTATCTCTATCCAGAGTCACATACTGGGTTTTCAATAAATATTATTTGATGAATACTGTTGAGTAAGTGCATGAATCTATGCTCTCCCTTCTGGTGGTACAGAATATCTTACACAGTCGAACTCTGACTAGGTTGCAAGGACTGAAGGTCAAGCTGGTATTTATAATAAAACAGCAAAAAAAAAAAAAATCTTTGTGAGAAGGAACACAATGAGAATGCTCACTCTTCCAATGATGTCTAAATCTGGAACAAGGAGATTCCCACCCCCCTCCACCACCTTCTGAGTTTCCTATGGAGCCACAGTTCTATCTGATCGGGGTCAACTTCAAAAGTTCTCCACCTCATTCCACAACTTCCCTTGCCAATCACTTCATTTGCCTCCAAATATGTCTTCCTCTGGTGAAAAGATAATTTGTACAATTCAATCACATCAACATTTCCTTTTGCAAATGACTCCATATTTCTTTTGAAACTGTAAGATAGATTTTGCATGCGATACAGTACCTGTATTTGTTCAACACCTTTTAGTCAAGACTTTCTAAGTACTCCACAAATATGAGGCTTCAGACTCTAACTCCATTCTGACAGCCACATGACACATACTTTTCCCAGAATCTCTGAGCTAGGTTATTTAAAGGCATCAGCAGCTGGTAAGTATGCAGAGAGGAGATCTTTGTGCCTTAAGGACTGAGCCCCACTAATCCTGGAAAATGTGGCTTGCAGATGAAACTCTGCTGAAGAGACTGAAGTACAGTGAATTTGATCCCACTACCCAGGCCTGGAGAAGCCAGCGATTTGGCCCAATGGCAAGTGGCAGCAGTGCACCCAGAACTCCGCTGAGAAACAGGAATTGGGGAGAAAGGTCAGGGCTCCACTTAGTCACGCAGGCCTCGGTTTCCTTAAGGGTTACAGGAGGGCCTTGATTACCCAATCGTTCATGTCTCTTGATAGCTTCAACAATCACAACTCCCAACCCTCGGGTGGTGTCAAAGGAACGCCGGAGCTAGACAGCAGATAAATAAAAACAGTTTTAAAAAACAATAATATTGAAATAGAGAAAAAGAGACCTCAGTATAGAACTGGGTCCAATCCCAAATACAGTATAATCAAGTGGGAATTTATAGCTCCAAATCAGAGTGGGGATCAGTGGATAGAAAAGGATCGAGAGGAAACATGGGTGACAAAGGGAATTCTGGCTAAAATGACCTATTGGGATCCTGCTGCAGGTGACCAGACATCTCTGGGGGAAGATGGAGGATTAGGAAGCCAAACAGATTCTGAGTGTGAACAGACATTACAGATACTGAGGCTGGGGGTTTCTTGCCAAACTGATTTGAATTCTTGTTAAAATGGAATCTTACAAGGAAGGGCACAGGGGCCAAGGAAAAGGTTCAGGAACCTAACTAAAGTTTGCTCGAGCAAAGAATCTTCGTCAATTTTCTGCTAAGAGAACCTAAGCCTCTTTTCGTTCAGTGTGATTGAATAGGAATTAATCATCTTGTCACCAAAACCAATTCTGTCTTCTCTGACTTCTCTTTCACTGTCTTGGAAACACAGTTTCAAACCCTAGGAGTAGATTTTTGACTCAATACTTTTCTCTAAATTAGCCCTTCTCAAACTGTAGAAATCACTGGAGGATCATGTTGAGATGCAGATCCTGATTTAGTAGGTTTGCTTGGGGCCTGAGGGTCTGCAAGTCTAGGGAGTTCTGGGGATGCCCTTGCTGCTGGTCCCAGGATGGCACTTGAGCCACAGTGCCCTTAACCAGCCCAGGCCCAGCCCCAGTCCAGTTAGCTGTCCTGTGACTTTGATTTTGTCTCTGAGGCATATTCCTATACATTCCTTCTCCCTGCGCACCTTTCCCACCCTTTATCACTTCCCACCCCTACTCAGAGGTGGTATCCAGATAACTTCAATAGCCAAACTGTGCCAATCTCTCCATTAGTGGATTTATAAATCCAATCTATTGAGGAGCTAACAGCATTTACAACAAATAGAACAGAATAGAGAATAGTAGAGTGTATATCACGTAGAGTAAAGGTTAAGTGCTATTTTTGTTAGATATAAAAAGATTTATAAGTAGGTCATGGTACAAGATATATTACTGTGAGCAGAGTTTTTTAAAAAGAGAGAAAGAAAGCCTGAAGAACCAGGGTCCTGCAGAGACCTCGGAGCCTCACTGCATTCTAACAGGCATGCGTGCCCCATCTGGCTCATCTTTCTAAACCTTCCTGGAAGTCAAGCTAGCTGTTTCTTCAACATCTTTTGGCATTGCTTTATTATCCCCAAACAAAATCCAGACACACTAGCCTAATTTTTGAGGCCTCCCTACCCTGATGTCACATGATTCTGAACCCCAATCTTCTCTTATTCACAGGGAGGGAGGTCTGGGCTCCTTACTCCCTGCTCCTTAAGCAGGATGCCACTCCCTCACCTGCCCACATGCTGATCCCACAGCCAGGACTGCCTGCCCTCCCTCCGTCACCTCCAGAGATCATGGGTATCCCTCAAACTTGCCTCACATCCTGCTGTTCATTATGCCTTCATCATGGATGAAAGTGGTAACTCGTCACCTAGGCTTTTTGGTGTAGAAAATGCCGTTCCTCTTGCCTAATTTTGTGGATATTCTTATATGTGCCTTATTTTCATACCTGGGCTATAAATGCTAATGAAAGTTGCAATTATGATTTATGCAAATATGATTTGGTGGTCTTCCTCATCTGATTTAGCCTCCCTGTATTTCATTTGAGAAGTGGAGAGAATGTCTCTGATAGGGTCATTATGAGGATTAAGCAAATTAACACATGTCAAGTTGTTTAGCATAGTGTCTGCTATATATTAAGCACTCTGTGAATGTTAACAGTTATTATCATTATTTTATCTGCTTTGGGCCCATCTTATCCCTTGTTTATAGTAGACCCACAATAGATGCTTAGGCGAATAAATTACCCCATATAAATATGATGGCTTTAAAAGTTTCTATTTTTGTTTTGACTGTTCCCAGCTTCCTTCAATTCATCTGCTTCTGGGAACTGCATCCTTTACTTAAGCAATTTAAAGATTTAGTGGGAGGACTCACAATTACCATGCAATCAAAATGTTAGCAGCAATTGTTGTGAAACCCAAGTTGGTGGAAGTGCCCAGAAAGTAAGCCAATAGCTGTCGAGAATAGCTGAGGGAGGATGGTGCTTTTCTGATCCTTGCTGTTCACCCTCTCCACTCTGTCTTTCCCCACAGCTGCACTGTGATTTTTTGACCTCCCAGACACCTTCTCTCTCACCTCTCCCTGGACTTGTCTTGCCTACTGTCAAATCTCTTCCTTTTTCTTTCAATTTCCTCCATCCCTATCTAAAAAGAAAATTTGCATAAAAGAAGTGCAAGAAAGAAAAGGGGACAGCTGTAACTCCTGTCACAGGGGGGAAATACCCTGCACGGATCCCCCATCCCTGGCAAGGGGAATCAGAGATGATGGGCATACTCAGCCCTTGAGTCACTACCCCATCCACCATGCCATCCGCAGGATGGATTTAACAAAAGACTGAACTGCATTTATACTCAACCGACTCTGTGAAAGATCTTTTTCAAAGTTTTGTGTAAACAAAGCAAAATTCAAGCTGGCAGCTACAACAGAAGTCACAGGCAATTGCACCTCTGCAGCATTTTTTCTACGTTTGAAGGGAAAAAAAAACAGCTCATGCTAAAGTAATTAAGGCAACCTGGAATCTAAGCATCTGATAATGTCAGTTATCTTCTAGTTAAGCCAGCAGAGGGGGGGTGAGGCTGTCTCCTTTGCTTTCATCTTGCTTCCACATTTCTCTCTCTGATTAATGACATTGGAGTGATGTGTCAATTGAGGGCCAGGCCTCTGAAAGCCTAGCCTAGCCCCAGGCTTGCCCCATGGCATCAGTTACAATTGCTCTTATTAATTCTCAGGTTTTGTACTATTTATGCAGGCTCAATCTCCATAGGGTCCCTTGGAAACTCCTCTTGCAGAATCAAGCCAGGAAGCTCTTCTGACTACAAATGGTTCTGTTTTTATCCATGGAGTTTTATGATATGGCCATGCCAAGTCTGGAATTTCAGGCCCGACTAATGAGAGGTTTTGTGAGAGTGAATGTGTGTGTATTTGTGTGTGTGCGTGTGTGCATGTGTGTATGTGTTGCGCTCTCTCAAATCTCTAAATCCAACATTCAAAATACAATATGCCAGAAAAATGAAAAGCTAAGTCTCCAAACCATAAATATGCCAAAGCTCGAACTACAAACCCTGCACACCACAAAGTCATATTGGTAAAAACGCTGATTTCTCCCCTTGAACTTGCCAGTTCTATATGTACCGTTGTGTTTATCTCTCTATTCAAAACCAAAATTTTCCTTTTTTTAGATCTTTCCACTTTTAATATCTTATTTTAAGCACGCCTCTTCCTGGTTTTCTCTCTTGACCTCAAAACATTCCTTGGTCAAGCCCAGAATGATTTATATGGATTGGGAATAAGCAATTTGTAATCTCAATAACCACAAAAGTCTCCTGCATCAGACCTGGTGCTGAATCAAAGATGAGCTCAGAGATCTTTTTTTTTTTTTCCGTTATCTATTGCTCAACTCTGGTGGCAACATTCCCTCCTTTGTTAACCATTTCCATTCTGTATGTTGGGCCTTTCTCCCTCAATGGTGACTAGAAAGAAAAACTGTCTTTTGAAAAGCTGGACACAACTGCACCCAGAACAATAAAGGCCACATCACACATTCATTCCAGTGATAATCTTTGTTGTTGGAGAAACAGAGATCGTTTATTTGTAGCCCATCAGCAGACCCAGGCCTTGGAATCTCAGGGGAAAAAAAGCAAGTAGCTAAAGAGAAATGTCACTGCTGGGAGGGATCTTAGGGCTCTGTGACAGGTCTCCATTCTGGTCCTTCCCATTTGCAATTTTAGCAATTTGCAAGAAAGATGAAAAAGAGCCACTTATTCAAAATAAAACATTCGTCCAGGGGTATAAAACCAAGCTTGTATTACGGTGACACGGTATCTGAGATTTTCACTGGGATGGCGAAGGCAAGACCAAGAATGTAAAATCGAGCTGGTGTGAATCAGGTCTTTCTGACATTAATGGCTTATTTTCTTCATTGTCATCACAGTTTCTTCTTCAGAGGAAGAGGAGATCAGAGCCATAAATCCATTTAGCCATTTGCTGTTCCTTCTAGTTTGTGATAAAGTCGTCAAACTGTGAGACAGATTGAACTCTTTCCAGAGGTACCTTCTATTGTGGATGTTACTTTTCCAATTTTCTTTTCACAGGCCATCACAGCTGGTGTGCTTGTACTGTCGGCTTACAAAGAGTGGACCCACAGACACCTGGTAAACACAGAGACGTTAAGTAGGACAGCAGAGTGGATTTGAAGGTTAAGCACCACTCATTTAGGATGGCACACAGAGAATGATTTCCACTTATCAAGGAATTTGATCTAATTGTGACCGTATTATGATGGATTTCAGCAATAAACTTTATGCTTTAAATTAATATTTTTTTTTATCTGATTTCTACTCCAAACCATTTCTACCATGCCTTGTAGTAATTACTGTCTTTGGGGAGGACAGAGTCAATGGATATTCGAGCTCCTGAATTTAATTTTGAGAGAACAGAGCTACAGGCTCTTCTGCTTTTAATAATTTTTAATTTGTCTTCCTTCCTTCCTTCCTTTCTTCATTTCTTTCTTTCTCTCTTTCAATTTTCTTTATGATGCTGGGGATTGAATTTAGAGTCTCTCCCATGCTAGGCAAATGCTCTACCACCAAGCCATACCCTTTGCCCTAAAGTAATGTTCCTTTTAGTGTCAGCTCCTGTATTAGAGGTCTCCTTCTCATCTCTCTGTTACTTTTCTGGAAAAGGATGAAAAAAATCCATATCTGGCATTTCAACAGTATAGAGCCAGGTAATCCCAGTGCGTAGAAAGTCTACCATATCCAATGATAGACTTTATTCCCATGGTTAAGCCTGTGCTTAATGTATGTGTGAATCAACAAGAGATCTGGCTAGAGTGCAGACAGTGATTCCACAGATCTGGATTAAGGTTGAGAGTCTTACTTTTCTGACAGGCTCACCGGGGATGTCAATGCTGTGGGATAGCGGATCACACCCCAAGTAGCAAGAGAAGTTCCTAGAGAAGGCATTCTATTTTCTATTCTATTTTAGAATTTTATTTCTATCTCTATTCTATTCTCTCATCTTGGATTATCCCATCAGAGACTGGTTCTATTTTTTTTTTTTGAACTGGGTATTGAACCCAGGGGTGCTTAACCACTAAGCCATATCCCCATGCCTTTTCATATTTTTATTTTGAGACAGATACTTGCTAAATTGCTGAGGCTGGCTTTGAACTCACCATCCTCTTGCCTCAATCACCAGAGCAGCTGGGATTATAGGCATGTGCTACCACACCAAGCTACCAGGTTCTCTGTGCATATGGGAGATAAACAACTGTTTGTTGAATTGAATTGATTTCATTTTTGCCCCAGTTGGCTGACCTGTTTCTCTCCAAAATGTAAATTGGAGGCAAGAATGTGAGAGCCTACAAAGAAAGTTGAAATCAGATGCGGTAGCACACACCTGTAATCCCAACTACTGGGGAGGTTGAAGCAGAAGGATCACAAGTTCAAGGCCAGCATCAACAACTTAGTGAGGCCTGGTCTCAAGATAAAATACATTTTACAAAAAGGGCTAGGTACAGTGCCCCTGGGTTCAATCCTCACTATCAAAGGAAAAAAAAATAAATGATAAATAAATAAATAAGCAAATAAATAAAACAAAAAAAGATTGTGACCCAATTCCTCCTTTTCCAGTAGGAGAGATTAATACCTGGCAACTCCTTCTTCGCATTGCTAAAAAGTTTTTGAAATAGCTCATCCTCACATTAACACTTTGTCTCTGTTTTATTTTCAGTGGGAAGCTAGCTTCACCTTTGTGATTCTGAGCATTATGGGATGTCCACTTCATTTTGCAGTAGCCTTGGAATCTGCTCTCCTTGGTCCATATTGCTTCTATTCATTTTCAGGGATCGCAGGGACCAATTATCTCGGTTATGCCATTGCCTTTCCTTTTCCATATGCGAAATTCCCATCGGTTTGCGTGGACCCCCTTAACTATGAAGAGTTCCACCTGACGCTTCAAGTCCTTGACTTGTGTCTGAGCTTTGCCCTGCTCTGTGCGTCTCTGACAGTGTTCATCAAACTTTCTGCAAGACTAATCCAGCATGGACACGTAAATGTAAGTTTCAGCAAAGGGGAACGTGGTGCTTACGCAATCCTGAATGGTAAAACAGAAGGTCTGGTATAGAAATACTAAATCTCTCCTTTGCCAGCATTTCCTATAGAACCATGTTGTCCCGTGTCTGGCACATGATAGGTGCTCAATAATTATTTTTGAGTGAACAAATGGAAATACGTTGATATAAAACTAAAAGCACAGCTATAGGTAGTACTACCCAATTTTTGTCTCAATCGATATTAAATTTTTTTTTTCTAAAAACAAGATATGGCTGCACACTTTACCACTTTTATTTTACATAGTACTGAAAATTCTAGCCAGAGCAATCAGGCAAGAAAAAGAAAAAATAAAAGTCATCCAATCAGAAAAGAAAAACTAAATTGTCTGTTTGAAGATGACATGATCTTATGTGTAGAAAACACTAAAGACTCCAGCAAAAAACTGTTAGAGCTGATAAACAAATGGAGTGTACTTACAGAATACAAAATCAACATACAAAAATCAGTTACTTTAAAGACTAGGCATGGATCCACCGTACGACCCAGCTATACCACTCCTCAGCATTTATCTTAAAGAATTAAAGTCATCTTTCTCTAGTGATTCATGCATACTCATGTTTATAGCGGCACAATTTACAATAGACAAACTATGGAACCAACATACAAGTGTCCATCAACATGTGAATGGATAAAGAAAATGTGGCATATATACACATATATACACTGGACACCCACAAGCAACAGAATACACAAAGTAATTTTATTCAGCCATAAAGAAAAACAAAATTGTATCATTTGCAGGAAAATGAATGGAACTTGAGACCATTAAGTTAAGCAAAATAAGCCAAAGTCAGAAGGCCAAGGTTTGAAGGTTTTCTCTCATATGAGGAAAAAGGGGGGGAAAAAAAGGTATGTGATGGGGAAAGGAGGGTGATGGCCTGAGAAGCAAAGGAGATCAGTAGACTAGAACAAGGGGACCCACAGGTGGGAGGAAGGAGGGAAGAAGTACTGGGAAGGGTATTGGCCAGCTTATATTGTTACACTGTTTCTTATACTAATAGGTAACAACAAATCCCACCATTATATATAACTATAATCACCAATGAAAAAGAAAAAAAAATCAGTTGCTGTATTTTTGGGTGGTGCTAAAGGATTGAAACCCAAAGTCTTGATCATGCTAGTCAAGTACTCTACCACTGAGCCCAAATTACATTTTTGTACTCTGACAGTAAGCAATCCAAAAAGAAAAAGAAAACAACCCCATTTATAATAGCATCAATAAGAATAAAGGATGGAAAAGATGTGTATACTGAAAAAAATATAAAACACTGGTGGAAGACATTGAAGACACAAATGGAAAGCTATTTCATGTTGCTGGAATAGAGGAATTAATATTGTTAAAATGTTCATTCTGCTCAAAACAATCTCTAGATTCTGTGTAATCCCCATCAAACCTGCAATGGCATTTTTCACAAAAATAGAAAAAAGCAACCTTAAAATTCACATGGATCCACAAAAGACCATGAAGAGCTAAAGTAATGAGAAATAAAAAAGTTGGAAGCATCACACTTCTGATTGTGAACCATATTACAAAATTATAGGAATTGAAACGCTGTGGTCCTGGCAAAACCCAGACAACAGACCAATGAAACAGAATACAGAGCTCAGGAATAAACAACTGGTCAAGTAATATTTGATAAGAGTGCCAGAAATACACATGGGAAAGTGTAGTCTCTTCAATAAATGGTGTTGAGAAAACTGGACACCCACAGGCAACAGAATGAAATTGAGCCCTTATCTTACAATATGCATAAAATTTAACTTGAAATGGAATAAAGACATAAATGCAAGACCAGAAGCTACAAAATTATTAGAAGAAAACATAGAGGAAAAGCTCTTTGACATCATCAGCCTAAGTAATGATTCTTCCAATAACTACACTAAAAGAGCCGCCAATAAAAGCAAAGCTAAACAAATGAGATTACATCAAACTGAAATGCTATAATGAACCTATAAAAAAGGAAAAAAAAATACTTGCTTTCTTTTTTTGGTGGTGCTAAAGATTGAAACGCAAAGTCTTGGTCATACTAGGCAGGGGTTCTACCACTGAGCACTTGAAAGAAACAATCAATAAAATGAACAGGCCTGTAGAATGGGAGAAAATATTTGCAAGCCATATATCTGATAAGGAGGTAATATCCAAAATATGTAAGGAACTCATACAACTTAATAGCAACGAAACCAAACAAACAAAAAGATGACCATATAGTCCAGCAATCCCACTTATGGGTATATATTTGAAGGAAACAAAAGCATATCTTGAAGAGATATCTGCATTCCAATGTTCATTGCAGCATTGTTTGTAATAGCCAAGACATGGAAACAACCAATATGAATGGACAAAGAAAATGTGTTGTATATTTTCAGAGAAATATTAGTCAGCCTTAAAAAAGAAGGGAATTCTGCCATTTACAACAACATGGATGAAACTTGACCCGTGGTAAGTGAATTAAATCAGGCAGAGAAAGACGAATACCATATAACTTCACTTATGTGTGGAATCTGAAAGAATCAAACTTGCAGAAACAGAGTAGTATAATGATTGCTAGGGGCTGGGAGTTGGGGAAATGGAGATATTTTGGTCAGACTAAAAACTTTCAGTGATAAGATGAATAAGTAGAGGAGCTAATGTCCAATGTTATGACTATTGCTAACAACCCTGTGCTGTATACATGAAATTTGCTGAGAGTAAACCTTAATTCTTAACACACACACACACACACACACACACACACACACTGATCATGTGAGTTGATAGCTAACTTGATTGTGGTAAATATTTCAAATCGTCACGTTGTATACCTTAAATTATTACAATAAAATATTACTTGTCATTTATATCTCAAGAAACTGGGAAAAAAACTGAAGTAAAGCACATCGAACTTTTTATAAGTAATGAATATGCATCCCCTTATCTTTCCTAAGTTTGAGGGTCATAAGAAAAAAAATTTCCCTGGGAAAAACATAGGTTAAGATAAACTAACCTTGAATTTTAAACTTAAACTTTTACATGATGCTTTGCCATGTTACTTTGCAGTTTATCATATGGAATTCAGGTCAATAGTTTGCTTTACTTTATATAATTAAATTTTACACTATAAAATTTCTGATAGAGGGCTGGGGATATGGATCCCTAAAAGAGCATTTGCCTGGCATGTGTGAAGCCCTGGTGTTCAATTCCCAGCACCTTACAGACCAAATACTAAGAACTTTTTGTGGAAATCAATTATAGTAATATCCTTAATGTTTTGTAATAATAGTCAAATACAGGCACCTTAATTTAGCTTCTATTCCATGAACTCCAAAATGTATATATACTCTGTGGCTAGACAATGCAGAATTTCTTCAAGAAATTCTGTACTTGTACTTGTACCCCAACAGAGAGGTTTATGTACCCCAACATCAGTTTATCTTTCTTTTTCCAGGAGCGCTAATAACAATACTAATGGTATGGTAATAACAAAATGATTATTCTGTGTCAGTATAACTTCCCATTTTATAGGTAATACACTGAGGCTAAAGAGATAATATAACTTGCCCCAAGTCCCACAGCTAATGAGTAATAGGGGCAGATTCAGAACCCAGAGACACTTCTCCTGATCAGGCCAGGCTCATACTGGCCCTCCTTGTCACTAGCCCTGCAGCCTCTTCCCTTTTGCTGGCTCTGGCTCCTAGAAAAACTGAAGCAGCATCTCTGGTGGATGAGCACAAGTGACTTCAGATTCTGAATTCTTAGGACTGTTATGGATGTTGATCCATTGTGGGCTGAACAGTTTCCTTTAGAAAGAGATATTTCCCATTGCAAACTCCTGTGCTGGCTTTGTGATTCAGATCAGTATCATATTAGCACAAAGTGAATTGGGGCAATGTTAGCCAGTGTTTTTCCAGGTCGATGCTATCCACTCCAGCCAGCAAAGCTGGAATATAAGAACTTGGCACTCTTGATACCTTTTGTGGTCAATCCTGTCCTCTTCGACTTCTACTTAAGTCTGCAAAGGAAATCCTGTGCATTCTTAGGCAGAGCTGATTACCTGCCAAGAATTGAGGCAAGCAAACCAAAATCGCCTCCCCCACTGCACTGCCAGGGAATATGGAAGTTTAGTATTTGAGATTTGACCCCTATGGTGAACACCCCACACTTTCTAGAACACTTTGCTAAAAGGAATGTATGCCTAGGAGAACCACACATTGAAGTATTGGCTGTCATAACTCCCCAACATGAGATAGTTTACTAGATATCTAGCTGTCACCTTATGCATGACACTCACAACACCTATGCTTAACATGGGTTGGTGGCAGGGAGAAGAAGGAAAAAAATATAGAAAGCCTGGTAAATAGATCCAGATACTGAAAAATGAGGCTAGTTGAAGTGATTGGGAAGAGAGAAGAGGAACAGAAGAGAGATGAGGCAAATTTCTCCAACTTGGAAATTTTGCCTCTGCAAATATTGATTAAGACTACTTGGTGTGTGACTTCTCATCCAGATATAGGGCTCAACACAACTACAATGCTTTCTCAAAGTAGACTAATGACATCAGAATCACCCATGTTCTTGTTCAACCAGATTTCTGGGTCCCACTAGAGCTCTGCTATGACAGACGTTCTAGGGATGGAAGTACAGAAGGTAGATTTTTTTTTTAAATGTTCTTTTTAGTTATACAGGACAATAGAATCCATTTTGACATAATTATTTTTAACACACACTCCAAGAAATTTTGATGTTTATAGAAATGTAAGAATCAGATTATACTTCCTTTTCTTTAAAAGTTATCTTCCTTATGAAGACTATTTTAGTGTCACTTATAGACAGAGTCTCAGTTTCCCTGGTTACATAAAATGCAGCACTAATTTGGGCAAAAGTTTTTGATAAATTTAATAAGCAGTGATTCCTTGGTGAGCATTTTTGGATGACTTGACATGGCTTAATCCATAATGGCGGCGGGTCATGTTTCATTAGTGAGGATGAGTGGCTGACATAATAGGACATGATGTTCTATATTAAAAAATACACCCCTGCCTTGAGCCCAAGGGGGATACTCGCAGCCTGAACAAACCTTTGTTACCAGGTAGAAATCTCAGCTATCTTGGGCACAATTTCCAGCAGTGAAATAAGTGTAGTATTTATCAAAATAGCAGAAAACACATACCTTTTTAGATTCTACTGGTAATCTTACTACATGTAAGATTCCCCATATACTAAACGTGATAAGCAATATTCTGAAAAATTTCATTAAATTACAATAACGATTCTAAACCATGCTGATGATTCTCCCCCTCACACACTTCTTCTTCTTCTCTTCTCTCTCTCTCTTTGTGTGTGTGTATGTGTGTGTGTGTGTCTCTCTCTCTCTGTCTCTCTCTCACACTGACAATGCTTTAAATTTTTCATTTTTAGGACTGGGGTGGTAGCTCAGTGGTACAGCTGTTGCGTAGCATGTCCTTGGTTCAATTCCCAACACCACAAAAATAAATAAATAAAATTAAAACTATTTTTAAAAATTTTATTTTAAGTGTCACTCTGAAAATGAATATCCTTTGATG